CCGGCAGCAGCAGCAGAGCGGGGCCCACACGACAGCTCATAGGGGTGGGCTCACCCTTATCTAGACATGTCAAGCCAACTCGCCGCCAGCCTACCTTATCCTTATCTTATCCCTTATCCCTTATCTTTATCTAATCTTATCTTTATCTTTATCTTAAGTGTGAGTTACCATTAGGAGTAGGTAATTAGGAGTTTGAGTTTAATTAGGAATTCCCTTCTGTAATCTCCTATTTAAGGAGCTACGAATTGAAATAAAGACATTCAGTTTTCCAGCCAAGAAAATAGTGAGGAGAGTTCGGGTGGTCTCTTCGACAAATCACCCCAAGGGAGAGTTCGGGTGGTCTCTTAGACAAATCACCCACGCGATTGCTGCAATAGGGTCTGCACGCAAGGGAAGGCGCAAGGGAAAGCAGTGCCTTCGCACCGTGGACCGGCCCATGACAGGATCCTACGCACGGGACCATAACAAATTTGGGATCAGAGCCAAACGTCATGGGCGATATGGAGCAGCTGTCTTCCAAAGTCCACGAACTGGAACACCAACTTGCAGAAACCAACATGGAGGTTTGTGAAGTCAGGGAAGACGTCCGGGAGATGCGACGCCTGGTGGAAGCATTCCTCTCCAACAAAGAAATGAGTTCGGAGGGAATCGCCAACACCAACAGACGCCGTCCAGACTGGGCAGAGGCATGCGGCGAACAACAGATCGCTACCCCTACAGCCGCAGTTATTTCCAAGGATCAGCGCACGGAGGATGAAACTGTAAAGTCTCCTCCTTTGGCCGAGGACGATGTCACGAACATTATAGTAGAACCCGCAGAATGCGCTCCTTTGACAGAAACAGGTGGGCTTGGCGATGTTGCTGGGGATTTACCAGAAGCCTTGGCTCGGCATGGACATAAAGCTATGGTTGCAGCACCACAGTATGGTAACTATACAGAAATCCAAGAAACAGGAGTGTGCAAGAGATGTAAGGTGGAGGGGCAGGATATAGAGGTAATTTTCTTCCAAGCTTATACTGATGGCATAGATTTTGTATTCGTGGACAGCCCTATGTTTCGTAATATTGAGGAAAATATATATGGGGAAGGCCGAGAGGATATTTTAATACGCATGGTCCTCTCCGGTAAGTCCGCCCTTGAGGTCCTCGACTGTAAGCATACCCGGTGCATTCTTATGATCCACAACATAGCACACCGGGGTCGTGGTCTAGTACGTGGTTTCTGTTATGTGGATCTTCCACAAAACTACTTCAAACTATATGACCCAGGAGGTAGGGAACACTTCAATGGCCTTGTGGCTGGCCTGAGTGCAGTAGAGCGGGTAGTCACTGTAAGCCATGGTTACGCCTGGGAGCTGGAAACTAAAAAAGGTGGCGGGTCCTGCATCAAATAGTCCAACGTTATGCACTGAGAGACGGGGCAGTCCCTGTTGTTCATACTGTTGGTGGACTAAGAAATAGCGTGCAACCGTTTGATCCATTCGTAGAGTCCCAAGCCATCTATCCTGAACACGAGCTTGAGGACAAGCTCGTAGTCCGGGAGGGGTGTAATGTTATGGGCACACCATCTGGCAACACACTGCGGAGCAGTCATAGGCAGCAGGCCGCACGGCAGGCCGCACAGCAGCAGGCACCGCTTGGCAGTGCTGCACAGCGGCACACACCGCGCACCCACCCGGCACCGCACGGCAGC